CCACTCAGTCTACTGACCTGTGTATAATATCTGTTAATTTTTTCACAACTTCAAGTAGCATATTACGACGCAGTTGAGAGATATTCCCGTAGCAATATTTACAAGAACTGTAAGATTAGATCTTATTTTGCCCCGTCAGGGAAAGACGACAAAAGAGAGACAGTATGGAGGCACAGCAACACAAAATACGAAAATAAAAGCAAGTAAGTGAAGATAAAAGAAAAAGTAAAAAGTATTTGCAAAAATGCTAAAAATAACATAAAATTCAGAAGCCAGCCAACCTCCATGACTGAAATTTGATTTTGGATGAACAAGAAATTTAGCATATACAACGATTCTAGAATAACCGGCACAGAAGAACAATGACCACCTAGCTAGCGTTTCTGAGCACAGGAAAAAGCTTGAAATTTTTCTGGCCGTAAGTGTTCTATCTGGCTGAATAAATGCTGCTTTTTAAAACTGTTCAGATAAGCACAAAACACACCTAGCATGCTCTCACTATGCCTTTTTATGGCTTTGAATAGCTGGCTGATGTGCTTTTGTGATAAGTAATCCGATCAGCTATGATACCGTGACCCAAAGATCTAGTTGTGAAATCTTTCACAGCTCAAGCCTAGAGATTTGTCAGCTTGTACAATCAGTTGTGATCGATCGGCAATCAGTGATAATTTTTGTCCTTCTGGATGATATCGTTGCAGTCACGACATAGTTCTCAAAAGCTTCTTCTACTGCTTCAAACACTTTTACTCTACAATACTGTATGCCAAAAAATGGCTCAACAAATTCTTTACGTTTAATTTTCGTTTTTTTTTTTCTCTAGAATCTCATAACTACCGCTACTGTTGTTTGATTACTCTTCTCAAAAAATGACCGTGCGCAATTAGTATTAAAATAATTCCCACAGAAAAGATGTAGACTAAAGGTAGAAAATTTATGAAAAAAAAGTTTTACTATAATCAAATACCAACAACAGTGATAAAACGTTTTATGGTGCTCAGAATATTGTAGGTGGAGGAGAACAAGTAAACCGTAGAAATTTGAAAACAGAACAAGAAACTATTCAGATGGTACTTATCGTTATCCAACATTTAATGGCAGTTATAGCTATTTGTTGTTGTTAGAGCCAGATGAATAAGTTGGGTGGGAAAAAAGAAGACTTAGTACTCGCTGTATTCAGGAATATTTTGAATGAGGTATCTG